TATGTCGAAGAAAGATATGTATATAGAAAGACATGTTTCGTGCTAATAGCGCGCTCTGTGAACGCAACTGTACAATACCACCAGGTTAGATAACTTCCGATACCGATCTTTGTCTCTATGTTGTCTGTGCCACGTAACCACGTTCCCGCCTGTTCATCGACAACCACATTATTTAAATTTAATCAGAGGTAATCCTCCTTTTGTTTTATAAATCAAGTTTTATTAAACATAAAATAAAGTTTAAGAATGTTTTGTAGATATTTTCCATAATATATTTTTCATAAATTCTTAATAATTTGTCGAGAAAAAAACATTTCATGAATATTTATAGGTTATGCTTTGCTTTTAGAAAGTCGCGTGTTTCACAAAAAATAATTTACAAGTCCAGCATCATTAAATATTTGCATATTCATCATTTATTTTAGGAAAGGTTAATCAGTTTTTTATGTTTATAATACGATTGAAATATACATTAACCTCAATAATGAATCAAATATTTCTGCTCTATATACTTTATCATGAAATTACATTTTCTTATTTTCGTTTTTATTTATATATTTCTATGTATTGCAATTATACCTAATAATTCTACACTACACATTTGATGACTTACTATAATTTTAATAATTAATTAAATAGTTAAAATATTTAAAAGACATTACAAAAATTCTCTATCTCTTTATAGCATATTATTTGTGTAATAATAAATTACTGCATATAAATTTATAACTTTTTATGTAAAGCAATGTTCATTAGTTGAGTTGCTTGGCTCATATTCAACTGTGTTAAATTTCAGGTGTGATATTACTTGAGAAGAATTCCCAATAAAATCCATTGATGATGTCTGAGCAAGGTTCATCATACAAAGTAAGATTCCTTTTATTCTAAATACGAAATACTTAAAAGATAATGTTCTCTTTTTATTTGCTCTTATTATTTTAATTTAACAACAAAGCACTAGATAGATAAATCAAATTAAATATTAGAAACCTCTCATTGTCTAAGCTGAATCTTGATTGCTTCAATAATTTCTGTGTGAATTTAAATTCTAACTTCCAACGTTGTAAATTGTGCGCCGATTACTTTTCGGTCTTAAAACACAGCTACTATTGAAAATAACTTATTGCGAACAATATTACCTCAGCCAAGTTTCGAACCTGGAGCCTCCCTTTCATTCCGTGACGGGCGTCTTACCAATTCGACCACTGAGGCTGTGGTAATTTCAGTTTTTTCAAAGATGACGCTGATGAGCATCGAATGTTAAATCGATTAATTGATTTACATTAATTATTCTAATAGTGGCTGAGTTTTAAAACCGAAAAGTAATTGGCGCACAGTTTACAACGTTGGAAGTTAGAATTTAAATTCACACAAAAATTATTGAAGCAACCAAGATCTAGCTTAGACCTGCAATTAGAGGTTTCTAATATTTAATTTGATTTATTTATAAGGGGTCGATATTTCGATCTGATTGCTAGATAGATAAAATGAACTGTTATAAAACAAACATGTGACTAAAAAAATTGTATATATATATATATGTACTTTACTGTTTTACAAAAGGCGTCATGATGCAAAATATCTGAAAAGAATTATAAAAAGAAATACTAGAAAAATGTCATGAAAAATATGCAAACAGAAATGCATTATAAGGAAAATGTATTGGAAACTTCTGCTTCCTCTACCTCATTAAACAGACCATATGTTAATTTTGCAATGGTTGAAAAGTCTGCGGATAACATTTCAAGCAATGTATCATCTCACAATCAATGTATCAGCCCATCTCGTGCTCCTGCTGAAAATGATGAAGTTTTATGCCATAATTTAGAATCATCATCAGATACACTTATAAATTATCTTAGATGTTGGGCAATTACCCATCATATCGCTTGCGACGAAGTTTTCTCTTTTTTCTCTTTTCTCCGCCCTCCCGTTGTACGCGGACGGACGGGTGTTGCCGTCCCGCTCTCGCGGTCGCGCGCGGATCTTAAGGCGAAGGCGCGCCGACGACGGGGAGTGTGGTCGCCGGGCGCGAGAAGCGCGGGGTGCGGGCGGATCGAGTCGTCGGCAAAAACCGGGGGAAAAGGATAACGCGCCGGAAAGGAGCGGGATTTCGGTAGCTCCGCGCGTACCGTGCCGAAAGCCGAAGGCTCGACGCGAAACGAGGTTGGGCGCCAGACGCGGTCTTTCACGCGTCACGTCGCGATATTCGCCAAAGGGGCACGAACGATCGGTACCGGCCTTCGCCACGGGCAGGCTAGCTCGCCTAACGGTAGAGGGGCTGTGGTTGACGCCAAGATTCCAGAGGCTACGGGACTTAAGGGGCTCACACGACGGACGAGACACACGAAGAGGGACGGACACGAAAAGAAACTCAAATAATATAATTAATATAAATAACAACGGGTTTAATATAAGGCGGCGTTAACACGCCGGTGGAGTGGCCGCTCTAACGGGCGGCGTCGCAAGCGACAATATTACAAGCCCCGTGATCGGGGGAACAACGCGCCGCGATACTCTCTGCGACACGGAACGCTCCGGCGCGAACTCAACGGCAGAAATTATATACGCGATAAACCCTACTCGGACGACACGGACGCACTCGACAGGAATTTTCTCGCGAACGGTACGAACACCGTCGCACACGCAACACTCGGCCGGGGCGCTTTGCCCGCGAGACTGGGTACTCGGGCCGACGCACAGTGGGGCAAATTAGCACGTTTTCGTTCAAAACAACTTTTAGCCAAAAGTATATAACCGATTGTAATGATTTTAGTCTCAAATTAAAGCTTATGAAATTCCTCAGAGATCTGTCATGGCCGATTTTTTATAAACGTTTTTCCTTTTTTTTATTTACGTGTAAATGTGAGAAAATGGAAATGTTCGTTGTTTTAAGATCGCGATATTCATTTAAACTTTGAAAAATCACACGGAATTTTAAACAATTTGCTACAAATTGATATTTGACTTAAGTTAAATTTACAAAAAGAAGTTTTATATACAGCGTGTCCCAGACCACCCGTATCAGCCAAATATCTCGAAATCCGAGAACGGCTGCAAACAAAAACGTTTCAGACAAAAGTTGTTTGGTTTGAAGGGGGCCATAAGATGGTACCATTGGTTTGACCTTGAAGAATTATTTGAAAGTCACATAAAGGTCACACCAATTTTTTTAAATGGCATCCCCTATTTTTTATTACATATTCTTGTAGCTGACCTCGAGAGCTTTCCAAAACGCTTTAATAAAGTATTTTTGTATTAAGAACTTTTTGAGTTATTAAAGTTTGAAAGTTCCAATATTTTGACATAAATTACAAAATATCTTGTAAAATATTCATTTTTTTATCATCTTACCTTAATACTTTTTTGAACAGAATAATGAGACAAATCAACCGGTGTAAAGAAAACACAATTGCTAAAAAATTTTTTTTTATTACTTGTTATAAAATTGTGTTTTCTTTACACCGGTTGATTTGTCTCATTATTCTGTTCAAAAAAGTATTAAGGTAAGATGATAAAAAAATGAATATTTTACAAGATATTTTATAATTTATGTCAAAATATTGCAACTTTCAAACTTTAATAACTCAAAAAGCTCTTCATACAAAAATACTTTATTAAAGCGTTTTGGAAAGCTCTCGAGGTCAGCTACAAGAATATGTAATAAAAAATAGGAGATGCCGTTTAAAAAAATTGGTGTGACCTTTATGTGACTTTCAAATAATTCTTCAAGGTCAAACCAATGGTACCATCTTATGGCCCCCTTCAAACCAAACAACTTTTGTCTGAAACGTTTTTGTCTGCCGTTCTCGGATTTCGAGATATTTGGCTGATACGGGTGGTCTGGGATACCCTGTATATAAAACTTCTTTTCGTAAATTTAAGTCAAATATCAATTTGTAGTAAATTGTTTAAAATTCCGTGTGATTTTTCAAAGTTTAAATGAATATCGCGATCTTAAAACAACGAACTTTCCATTTTCTCATATTTACACGTAAATAAAAAAAAAGGAAAAACGTTTATCAAAAATCGGCCATGACAGATCTCTGAGGAATTTCATAAGCTTTAATTTAAGACCAAAATAATTACAATAGGTTGTATACTTTTGGCTAAAAGTTGTTTTGAACGAAAACGTTTGCCCCACTGTGCGGCGTGGCCGCTCTCAGGGTTCTTTTTGGTTACACCAGAGTTACTGTGATAATACTGCGCTTTTGAAACAGGGCCACTCCTGAGACACGCCCCATTATCGTGAAATAAACTGACCGTCGCTGGAATGCGGGCGGCAAGGGGACAGAAGTAGGCGTTTGTCTCAAAAATCCGGCCAGAAGTGCAAATAATTCCGAGCATTAATATAGAACTTTTCTATTCAGTTTACCCCGGTCTATCTACCATCTACGGGACATCCGGGAATTAGGGAACACCCTATATATCCACTTTTCATCGCCAGTCACAATTCAATAGAGAAATGACTTTCTCTTGTACCTGGCGAGCAGCAAGTGCTTTTCCTGCTGTCTTTCATTCAGTTCATGTGGAACCCATTTTCCCATCTTCTGGATCTTTCCCATGGCTTTCAAACGTATGGAGACGGCTTTTTGTGTCACATTTAATTGATCCGCGAGTTGTTGCGTTTGAGCGTCATCCTCATCCAACAATGCTTGCAATTCGCTGTCTTCAAACTTTTTCGATGTTCTTCCACGTTCTTCGTTTCTCACGTCAAAATCGTCACTTTTAAATTTTTTAAACCACTCAAAGCACTGTAATTTACCCAGAGCATGCTCACCGTAAGCTTCGACAAGCATTCGATGCGATTCTGCAACGGTTTTCTTCAAATGGTAACAGAAAATCAATGCTGTCCGCAAATCGTAGTTTCCAGGCACAAAATTCGACATGTTCATCGCTATTAAAAACTATGCTGTTGTATGAAACTTGTATTGTTGTGAGTTGAAAATCTTTATCAGATGTCAATACGGACTTCCGTTTCCGGCGGCGTAGAGTGAGTAGAGCAGAATCATTGGGGAAAGAAAAGTGGACAAAACCCAGTGAGAAATGATTCGTCGATCAATATCGAAACGATGTCGAATCGACGTCAATTTGACGGTATCGATGTCGATTCGACATTGTTTCGACTTCGATCGACAAATCATCTCTCACTGGGAAGAAGACGCAAAGATCTCTATGGAAGAAAAGAGAGGAAGGAACAGGTACAGAAACAGGAAATATAGATTTGTGGAAAGAGAAGGTCTGAAGGAAAAAATGAAGAGGAGGGAGGAAAAGTGGAGAAGTGAAAGGGAGGAACTTAAGGAAAGGATAGAGAAACTGGAAAGGAAGTGGAGTGAGACAATGGAAGAGAGAAAGGAAGAGGAAGTAGTCAAAAGACTGGAAGAGAAAGTTAAAAAAATGGAGAAAGAAAAGGAGGAGGAGGATAAAAGGAGAAAGGAGGAAGGGAAAGGAAAGATAGAAAAGAGAGTTAAGATACTGGAGAGAAGAGAACAAGAGAAGGAGAGAGAACGAAGGAAGAACAATATAATAGTAAAAGGCATAAGAACTACAGGAAAGGGAGATATAAGAGAGGAAGTTGAAAAGATCTTAAAAAAGATAGGGCTAAAGAAAGGAATAGAAAAGACAAAGAGAATTAGGGAAGGAAACGAGGGAAAGGGAGAAATGGTTATAGTGGAGCTAGATAGTGAAGAAGAGAAGAGAAGGATAATGGAAGGGAAAAGAAAACTGAGAGGAAGCAAAATATGGATAGAGGAAGATCTAACGTACGAGGGGAGAAGAGTGAGATGGATGTTGAGAAGGATAGCGGAGGAGGAGGAAAGGAAGGGTAACAGAGTGTAGAGAGGAAATGGGAAGTTGAGAATCAACGAAGAATGGTGGAGATGGGATGTGGAAATGGGAGGGCTGGTGGATGGCAAGGGAGAGAGAAGAAGAACAGAGTTGAAAGAGAGAAAAGAAAAACCCAGGGAAGAGACAGGGGAGGATAGAGAGGAGGGAAACTAAGGGGGGAGGGAAGAAGAGGGGGTGAGGAAAAAGGAAAGAAGAAAAGATATAAAGGTGACATTTTGGAACGTAGCAAGGGTCAAGAACAAGGATTTTTGGAAAGGGTTGGAAATTGGGATGTGGTAACGTTGATGGAGACGTGGGCAGAGGAGAAAGACTGGAGCAAGATAAGAAAGAATTTACCTAAAGAATTTAGATGGAGAAAGCAGGCAGCGAAGAGAGAGTGCAGGAAAGGAAGAGCAAGGAGGGGTATAATAATGGGGGTGAGGAAAGAACTGGAGAGTGAAAGAGATAAGGGAGATGGAGGGGAGGAGATGGAGGGGATAATGAAGGGGATAATGATGAGAGAAATAAGGATGGAAGGGGAGTACTGGAAGATAGTAGGAGTGTATGTGAGAAATGATATAGAAAAAAAGTTAGAAAGATTGAAAGAGTGGATGGATGGAGAAAGTGGTGGAGGAAGGACAATAATTAGTGGGGACTTTAATGCTAGAACGGGAAGGAGGGGAGGTAGAATAGGGGAGGAGGGCGAAATAGAGTGGGAAAGAAGAAAATCGAAAGACGGAAAGGAGAACAAGGAGGGGAAAGAATTAATAGACTTCATCAATGAGAGAGGTTGGATGATTTGGTTATCTGGGACTAAACATAGCTTTGTTTACATCCCCTATTATGTAAACAATCTCTACAGAATATTCCATTTTTATCGATTTTTTCCTAAAGAGAATAGATTGAATGGGCTAAATTGAGTATAAAAATCATAATTTTCAAAATTTGCAATACTCTTTGAGTAATAAACAAAAATGTCTGAGCGAATAAGAGACGAAAAGCGATAGGGTAGACTCGGAAGACATGCAAAATGGTTTATTTGTTTATATGTTCTCTTATACGATCCGATAAACGAGGGATAAGTCCAGCCTACCGCTTTTTGTATGCTTATTCACTTGCACTCAGACGTTTTGTTTATTACAAAAAGTATTGCGAAAATAGTATATAATTTTCTATTAAATTTGCTTAGCTCTATTTCTTCTCTTTAGATAATTTAGGTAAAATGGAACATCCTGTATATTATATACAGTAAAATTAGAGAGAGCTGTCTCTAATATTCCTCTTGTAAGCATAATATTTTCTGTATTTAAAGAAATTAAACATTTGAGGATGCAATTAGAACGACTTACGTTAATTATTATGTTAATAATATTAGGTTGAAACATTGTAACTACAACAATTTAATAAAATTTGCCAGTTGGGTTCACAATAAGCTTACCTTTTTTAATTTTTAATCATCACTGGAGACTATAAATGACATTTTTCTTTCGTCGATTTAAATTAATTTCAAAATTGCAAATTATAAATTATAAATTAAATTGTAAATTATCATAACATTGTTATGGGAATCAAATAAAATATCTACCGTTATAATTGTTTGAAAGTTACAAAAAATATTTTTCTCATATACAATTAATATTATGTTTAACATATATTATATAATTAAATTTTTTAAATATAATTTTTAAACTTTAAGTTTTAATATTATAAACTAATGGAAAAGAATTTTTTCAGAGTTTGTTTTACCGAGGAATCATATACCACAACGAAAGGTAACAACAACGTAGCCCAACAGACTGCAAAAATAATTCGCCAATATAGCTTAAGAAAGATGCCTGTTCGTTTCATATATGTTAATTGAAGTGAGGAAGCTTCAAATCTGCAACAAATTTTTATTTCAGATTAAATCGTAGAAATTAAAATTAAATTTTCTAAATTTATAAATTGTTTTGATGTAAATTCCTTTTTACAATAATATACAATATTATGCTTTATTAACATATCCTCTATGTTAGCTTTAAACCCATTTCTTTATCTACGCTTTATTTTGTTGCACTAAAATGTTAAGTTCAACTAACATTGAAACTGTTAAAAGTCATTACATTATACATTATAATTACACTTATTACTCATTTAGGTAACCAAAGTAGATTTTAAGAAAGCAGAAAAAAGATTCATATTTATAAAATAACTGTGGATATCTATAGAACACTTATGGAATATATCTTTGTAATTGTATACGAACGTCAGTTTTAAAAGTGTAGATTTAAAGAATATTGTGTATAAAACTTTCTAATAAGAAATGGAATAGGTTAAAACGTCAGAAAATACTACTTTTGTGAAAATTTACAACAAATTTCACCTGAATTTATTTTTACATATAAAGGCAACAAGAAACGTAACCTTTGCTGCGTTTCAGATCCAACTTCAGCTTTATTCTCGGCTTTAAATGCCTTTGTTCCATCTTTTTTAGCCATAAATCAATGTGTTTCGCGTAAAAAGAACTCCTCTAGGTTACATTAGTGTTGTTTCATATATTACAGAAGAAAATCGGCTTATTGAACTTTGTAACAATTCTTTAGTACTTATATACATACTATGTGGACTCATACATATTAAATTTACATGTATGTATACAGGGTGTTTTGGTAAGGGCAGGTAATTAATTTCTCGTGGGCTTGTAGAGCAGGCAAAAATAACTTCAACAAGTTCCTATAAACTTGTTTTATAATGTTTCTTTATCGAAATAGTTATCTTTAAAGTTAAAATTTCTGAATCAATATTCTTAAATAATTATATATATATAGTACTGTTCAGATCTTAATAAATTGTAATAATTATTTTTGCATTTTGTAAAGATCTTTAAAACAATGTGATAATGTTTTAGATACCATCCCACACAGCACCGAAATATTTCAGAAAGCTCTCAAAAAGCTGTCAATGAAATATGAAACCTTTCAAAAAAATATTTCAAACATGTTTCAGATACATGAAATGTCCGCGTAGATGAGACTAAAAACTTACCTTTTTTAAAGAAAGGTAAAAAAATGCACCAAGTATAAGCTCCAATTCAACCGAATATATTTTGTTACTCTATCTTTTTTGCAAAAGTATGTTCTCTACAAAAATATCTTCTCTACAAAACTATCTTCTCTACAAAAGTAATGATATCAACAAATGGCGCCAAATATAACAACTGATATTTATACAAACTATTAGTTGCTTTAGTATTAGTTTTTGATTAAAAAATGTTATATTTCTTAAAAAAATCAAACTAAAGATTTTATTGGAAAAAATAATGGAGTTAATAATAAAACACCGATGAAAAGAATAGCAACTGTTTACAAATTTAGGCCAGTATTCATAGTCGGATCTTACATTCAAGACCGTCTTGAATTTATCTAAAGATGCTGTATGGAACATTTGATTGGTTGCGGAGTATCTAGAGATGATCTTAAGACGGTCTTGAATATAAGATCTGACTATGAATACCGGTCTTAGAAACGCTGTATCTATTCAGGCGAATTAAGGCCTGTGTCCATGACGCTGGTACTTGGTCCAAGTTCTAATTCCGCGAAATATGTAGCAAATCAATATAGCTGTTCCACAAAAGCTGCAAGTTGATTGGCTACGCATTTCTCAAAACTAGAACTTGGACCAAGTACCAGCGTCATGGACTCAGGCCTTAATTCGCCTGAATAGATACAGAGTTTCTAAATTTCTAAACAGTTGCTATTCTTTTCATCGGTGTTTTATTATTAACTCCATTATTTTTTCCAATAAAATCTTTAGTTTGATTTTTAAGAAATATAACATTTTTTAATCAAAAACTAATACTAAAGCAACTAGTTTGTATAAATATCCGTGTTATATTTGGCGCAATTTGTTGATATCATTACTTTTGTAGAGAAGATAGTTTTGTAGAGAAGATATTTTTGTAGAGAACATACTTTTGCAAAAAAGATAGAGTAACAAAACCCAGTCAGCACAGATATTCCCTGAATGTACATACACAGGATATCCGTAAGATTCAAAGTACATCTATTGAATCTTGTAGACATAC